GAGCTGCTGGTGCGGAGCCGGGCCCTCAGCCCGCAGGGGAGAGCAGGCCGAGGGTGATGAGGTGCAGTGGCCATCCCCTCCACCACGGTTTTCAGGGGAGAGGGAGTCTTGCATCGAACAAGGGAACGTCTGTCTTTCCTCCGTTACAGAGGATTGAGAGACCCCAGGTCAGGCAGCTGTGTGATCAGGAGAGGGAAGAGGGCCCCAGGCCTGGCTGAGGCCTGTTGTGAAGACACAGGGACTCAAAAGAGTGTAGCTTTCTTCTTTTTCATGTTCTGGATGTGAAGGTAGAAAGGAAAGGAAGCACCACCCAAACCCACAGCAAACAATTTCTTCCCTTGGTATGTACCTCCCTTTGGTCAGTTTAACATAGTGGTGAAGTGCTGTGTGCTTTTACTTTGCCTATGTTCTCTTTCTTGCATCATGGAAACTGCCCTGCCTGCACACAGTTTTCTGAGGCATGAGTTGAGAAAAAGGATGCTCTGTTAAAAAGAATTGAGCTGAGGCTACTTTTAAGCAGAATTGAGAACATCTGCTTGGATAACAGTATAATTTTAAAGTTTTTGCATTGCACTGAAAGGTTCCATTTATATGGAGTAGTTTTCCTGAGAGCTGTCAATAACAGGTTTTGCAAGTTACACTTCTTTCAGGTGGTTTAGTTGGGGCATGGGACTGGCAATACAGATAGGGATGACAATTCTTGAGATGATACCAACTTTATGCACATAGCTGGCTTTATGCAATATTGAGGAGTCTTAAAAGTGTAACAAATGACACATTCAGTAAAATTATAAGATTTTTAGGAGCTCTTACTGACACAGATTAAAGTGTAATAATGAAGTCAAATCTTTAATAGAGGTTAGTAAAATCTTAATTTGCTTGCACTGCATAGTCACGTTTCTATTCAAAAAATAGTCTTGGTTACTTTTTTTATGATGCAGATGACTATCTTACAGGAATCTTATAGTTGATGGAAGGGAATCATCATGAACTTTGTACACTTTCAATACAACAGCAAAAGCTCTCCCAGTGTGGAAGCCTGCAGATGGCTTCCTGAACCCAGGACACCTCTGTACCTGTTGCACAGGCAAAGGATGTGAGGTTTCTGCATGTCACCGATGTCTAATTTCCCTTTGGAAGCTCACGCTTTGGATATTCAATTAGGTAGTTCTTATTTCGAAAGCCTGCCTCAACTTAGCTGAGCAGAATACGCCGCTGGTTTTATTCACAACTGCTTCATGTCAGAACCAGTGGGCAGGAACAGTCTCATAGGCTCTGTTCTGGTGTTAAGAAACCTGTCATAAAGAAGGTACAAGTTTGAATCCAGTCTTGGATTGTCACATTTTTCCTTTCTCCCTTTTCCTTATTGTGAGTAGTTCAGAAGCATTGACCTGATGGTGATGCTTTCAAGGACTAGAAGGACATTGTATGTCTTTCTCTATGTAGCTTTGCCTAGGACTAAAGTAATGTGTATATGTGTACTCTTATGTGTATACACATGGGTTGTTTTGCCTGGGAGGGCAATAGAGGCAATCAAAGAGGAAGGAAGTCTCAAACTGCGAGTCCTCATTTTCTTCAGTGTGGGCAACTAAGGATCTCAGTCCATGAGGCCATGAATAGGTTCAGGTAGAGGGATTGTCTTGCATTTTTCTGAGCATCACATTTCTTCTGAGGTATGTGGATTGTTCCCCTCTCTTCTCTAGATGCTGTTAGAGAACTACAGTGCTTTCAAAATTTATGATGCTACTGTCACCTTCAAGATGAAAGTCTTAAGTGACCCTTTAAAAATCTCATCGGAAAACCCAAAAGACAGTTTATATTTACTTTAGCATTCTGTTAATGTCAGGTAGTGTTCTTTGTTCATTTTGTGCTTGAAATGAACCGAAGTCTTAACAAAGATACTAAGCTTGATTTTTCCCAAATGGCTGATTTAACCTTTATGTGGCCCGTTGTTTATGGAGCTTTCTGTTTTCTCCACAGAGATGCATCTGCAAAACATTGTTGTATTACTTCAATATCTCCTCTTAGAATTCACTTGGCAGTAGTCTTTCTCTTCATTCAACAGGAGATAGTGAACCAGCTAGTAGCAGTGACTAAGCAGTGGTGATGGGTTGAAAACTTTTACAGAAAGTAAAATGAAAGATCTTTTCAAAATGGTACAGTCATGATTTTTGTTTTTCTGTGCATCTGCCAGCAGCTGGCATGACATCAGGTGAAGAAAGCTGATGACTGTGCCCTTTTTCAACCCATTCAGTAACATGCTAATGAATGGCACCAAAAGATGGGAGGTTTTCTGCTGTAGAGAGAGATTTGTTACCTGAGAAAAAAGTATTGAAAATAGATTTACTGTTTCTTTGAGGAAAGTTCAGTGAGAAAAAGCTGCTGGCACCAGTAAAATACAAAGGTTTTTTAAGGTTATCTTTGCAACCAAACAGTTTCACTTGCACAGGAAGGGCTATTTTCTTATTTCCTCAGGCCTATAAAATGAATAATCACATTTTGAATTATTTTTTCCCTAAAAAAAAGAGTATAATGACTAGTCTTCCAAATTAAAAAAAAAATAAAACCAAACAAAACTTAGATTTAACATGTTTAAATCATTGAAGGCTGTCAATCTTGTGTTACATACTAATACATTTCCTCGATTTCAAGCATCCTAAAACATCAGTGTTGCTGATGGCCTGCATTATATTGTGGTGAAATTTAATACAATAAAGTAAATCCATCCAGAAGAGCCTTACCATTGAATTATTTTGTTCTGGCACTGGATACTGCAGATCATTATGTCAGGTCAACTTCTTTTTGCATTCTGCAGGTTAGACATAACATTAAATACACTCCATACTTAAAACGTTCTACAGGGTCAAAGTTACTGGGTCTCCATTACACATGGTGTTTTGAAGTTATATGTTTTTTATTTTGAAGATAGAATGCACTGTGTGCTACTGCTTTACTATTAACTGCGAGTGCTTAACATAAATGTTACTTTTGCTAGTGCACATTGACTTGCTCTAGGAAACACCATGTCCCTTAGAAAGGTTTTTAGATGTATTCTGAGATGATTCTGTGACCTGACCCTCATGGTTTTGAAACAGTAAAGTAATTCTCTACCTTCTAGTAATTTTCCTGTTGTGAGATCATCATCTTAGCTGTATAACCTCATTCTACTACCATGAATCATTAGAAACAAGTGCCTTGTAAATAAGGCATGGCTGATCCTGCATTTGGTTGTGTATCTGTAGTTGCCAAGCTTTAGAAGTTCCAGAAAAGTACTTACTGGGCCCACAAAAGCAGGCTCCTGCCACAGCACACTATCAGAAATAGGTTCAAACAGAATCTGTGGAAGCATAGAGCCTTCATATATGGCACCACTTCTCAATTTTGCCCAGAAGTTGTTTCATAGGATCTATTTACCTGCATTCTGTAGGGCCCTTAATTAGTGTTTTTACCCTCCTTTATGAAGTCTAAGGCTGACAATCAGCCTCAAGGAGTTCTCTAGTCATAGAGAATGCAACAGGCACGTTTGGAGACTATTGTGTATCTGTAGTATAGGTCGTTCAATATTGGTTAAAACAAATGAACAAATATAGCTTTAGACAAAACCTCACTTTTTAGGGAAGTGAATCTTCCCTAAAAAGGAAGGTGGAAAAGAACAATGGATGAAGCTCCCTGCAAAACGTGGGGTTTTTTATGCAGCATCTGTTTAGTCACTGATTACCATCCAGGTTGTATATCAAATAAAGTAATCTGTTCTCAAACTGCCCACTAACACTAGTTTGGTTAAAACAGGGTGGTTTGAGTCATTGCATTATAAAATACTTTGTTAAGTCTCTAAGTACTTGATATCTGACTTCTGCTCTTGTAGACATTATCAACTCTTCCTCAGCCTCTAACTCCCTGTTTTGTTGCTCAGCTTTTGAGTTATATCATTGACATAAACAGTGTCTGAAAAATAGCATAAGGAGCTTCTTTGTAGTCATGTGCCAGAGTGACATAAACAAGTATTTTGGAGAAGACTTGTTTTTTTTTTTTTCTTATCCTGGTAAATCATCACTCAATTAAAAGCATAATAAAGTTATTATTGTCTGAGGAAGATGCAAATGAGGAGTAGTAATTATCATTAATAATCAGCTTCAAAGCTCTACTACATTAGAAGGAAACTTTTTTCTTTTAGTTTGAATTAGTCTATTAAATGTTTCTTTACCTGATGGTTTTCTTCCAAAGGGATCACCCAGGACATCTACTCCATTTGGTACAGCGCATGGCAGAGAGAAAAGAGTGTCTAATGATGTGGAAAACTATTACAGACCTTCAATGCTTGAGGACCCATGGGCTGGCCTAGAGCCAGTTTCTGTTAAAGACATAAACCAACAATACAGCAGTGAGCAAACAACATATACTGGTAAAAAAGGGAGGTATTTCAGCTAACACTTTTAAAGGCCAAATAACTCCATCTTGTCAGGAAAACTTTGGGACAAAATCTTTACACTTACCCAAGATGAACAATAATCAAGACCTTAATGGTTTTATTTGATCCCACGTCCACCCTTTTATCCTACTTTTGGTTTTTATTGCATTGGATATTTTTATGTATGGGAGGGAAAAGGAGTGGTAGGAAAACTTACATTTCTGGTTATGTGGAAGTGCCTACCATCTTTGAAGAACAAAGTGTTCTTTAATCACCAGCGACTGATTTGTGACTGTTAAAACAGGTTTCCATATATTTACCTCTCTTCCATGCCAGATTGTTAGCTTTTTATTGTAAACTCCTTTAGGAAATGGTATTTTTTTATGTTTCAACATTTTTAGAATGAGTAACTTGGAAATAAAATGGAAGTTTTGTAAATCCTTGTTTTGTAATGTATAAAGATTATTTTAGGACTTTTGTTAAGGTGTACACATGAACACAAATAGTACTAGTGAAATTAGGTGATTTCTGTAAATGTGCTTGTATGCTGAAGTTTACCTCTGTTTTTCTGCATAGTATTTTTTTGTTAATTATAGTGTAACATGAAGTTGAAACATGACTTTTAGCCATCTCAGGAAACAAATGTGTTGTCTTTGGAAAGTTCAATTTGTTGAGTCATAAACATAATTCTGTAATAATTTGCTTTTGTACTAAGAAAAATAATCTTATTTGATTAGACATTTCTGGATTATATTAACAGGTCTATTGAGTGGCTATTTAAGGAGCATGTCAAATATCAAGATAAAAGCAAATGTATGTTCTGGATCCACCTGTTAGAATAGCATAGAAGGAATGGCAGTGTTATACAGCTGACTATAGTACATGCATAGCATCTTTTTTTTAACCTTTACAAGATTTATCTTTTTTTTTTTTTAATTATCTTTTATTTTTACCTATGGCAGGCATCTTTGCCTGGAGAACTCTTGTTTTGTGTGCATGCATGATATATTTTTATACTAAAGTGGAAAACGAGGGTTTTTTTATAGAGCTTGTCTATGTGAGGAAGATCCATTCCTAAATCCATTAGTGAATATTGTAATCTAGAATAAATAAGAAATAGTTCCAGCTGCAGGCATGCTCTTAACATGCCACATTAAGCCTGCAGTAGATATCTATGTTTTTGTTGAAGGAACCATTATTTGTTGATCTTGGCTTTTAAGTAGTAGGTAGAGGGTGAAAACTTAGTTAAATAAAGCATTAGTTCAGTTTTCAAAACATGTTTTGTTTTAAGCATCTTACACAGTTCACAGGAAGTATTTTTGTAGTCCTGAAGCATGGTTAGGTAGAAAAGCACAGGGAATCACATTCGAGTGATTAACTTGTCTTTTGCTGAGGTTGAATAGTCCTATATATTTCTTTACCCGTTTGAGCATAAAATGTCTTGGGTTAATACTGCCTTCAGGAACAACTTCAGAGCGGAAGGGGTTAACATGCTGAAATGTCTTAGCTGAGTCTCTTGCACTTTGTCACTTGCGTCTTCCCTCAATTCTTATCTAAAGTTTATCACCTGTGTCTTCCCTCAATTGACCGTACTGTTTTAGTATTACATCCAAAAGGGCTGCTCAAAGAACTGAGGAAGTAAGGCCTGCTCAATGTCAAGAATGGTTAAATCTTCATCCCAGAAACAAAACTGTGCCTTAAATGGCAGCTGTCAGTATCATTATCTGTAATGCATACCAGCAAAACTGAGATGACTTGGCAAGTTGCAGTCTTTATAAATCAATTAATCTCATTGTGAAAAAGCAAAGTATGACGTTCTCTTTACTTTTTATGTCAGGCACTGTGAAGCTCACAAAAAAGTTACAGGGTGCTTAATGGAGTCACCTTTTCTGTTACTATTTCATTTGGAATTCAGTTCCGTTTACTTTTTGCAGTGTTTGGTGGTATTGGAGAAACAGATACAATTTTATGAAAGAGACTAAAGCTATGACATGTTCCCAGTTAGACACGAGAAGAAACTCAATTTGGAAGGGAGAAAGGAAAGGAAAAGGGTTCATGTCAGATAGAGGGACTGTTAGAGGTGAGACTGCTTATACAGTAGCCAGTATTAGCTGTCCTTGCACATTGCAAAGATGCATTTTTCCACTGTGGCTTTACAGTTGACCCAGGGATCAAAGCCACCTCCTCTGGTAGTAACTGTTAACTCCTGGAACTGGGTGTCAGACATCAACGAAGGTAAATGTTCCAGAAAGTGAACTGAGGAAATAATCTTGAAGCGTTGTTTAATCACTACAGGCCTTCCACAATGCCATCTGTTTAAGCTGCTGCTCCAGTGCACTTCAGGATATGATCCAACAATTATAAGCACATCATACTGCTAAAGACCACAGTAATTTGGTGAAGAATCAGCAAGGAATTAAAATGCAGATGTAATAAACTTACTAACCTCATCATACTGCACCAAAAACTTAAAATGATTCACCTTTCTGGCTTCTAGGAGAAATTCTGCAATTACAGTAAAACTTCAAAATGTCACTGTTGAATACCTGTGAGATGTATGAACACATGTTTAGTATTATAAATATAATATACTTAAAGCCAATTTAAGCTTTGCCTTTTTTGCTATGATATCCAGGAAGCTTAAGCACGTACTTCCTCACCGATTTTTCTCCTTTTTTCCCCATATGGCAAACGTTCTTTTTCCCCACATGTTTTTAATGGAGATACCACTTCCTCATTTGTTAATGAAGCCACTTCATAGTAACAGTATGGCTCTGGAAATAGCATTTAGTGGTAAAAAGTGCAGCACAAACACATCCTTTCTTCATGAACCCGTGAAACAAAATAGTGCTTGTGTCTTGTTAACAAAGGGATTCTTCTGTAACAAACACACTAAGAGTATGGGCATTATTTTTTCTTCAACAGATTTTAAGGTAAGTCATTTAGCTCCTTTTCCCAAAGTTTGGATTGATGTACTTTTCCATTGTTTTGTTTGCATTGAGTTGGTCTGTCAAGTCTGTCTGACTTTCCATTCAGTTGTTGTAAAGGAGCTGTAAAACTAGCGACTCTCCTAGTAAAAATGCAGTTTCATTTATTGCTGTTTGCTACTGTGGTTAACAATGAACTATATTGCTACTATGTTGTGCTCATATCCCAGAAAGATAACTTACATCAGCTGAGTACAATTCTGTGTACCATTGCAACACACCAGGTGGGGAGTTACCTCAAGTTGTGTACTGTAATACTTCAAAGATGTTCAGGTTTGGGGTTTTGTGTGACTTTGTAATATGAAATACTCATTTTTCTCTGGCACTTTGTATGCACTATTTTACATTGCTATTGCAAAACAATTTAGAATGTTAAAATTTCAATTAAAACATGATTTTTAACTCTTATCAAGCTACTTCTCCTTTGAATTAGCAATGAGGCATTGAGATGCAGCGTTTTTCTAATGTCAAAACTGGGAACAGTTTGTAGGGGAAACGCTTCTGGTCAACAGAATGGGTAACCACTTGCAGTCAGGTTGTTTTTCTTTTGTCCTGTTCAGAATACCTTTATGTGCTCTTCACTTTCTATAAAAGTGTTCATTAGACATCTGAGGGGGAGCATTTGAAACATGCATTATATGGAAAGTCTAAAAGTAGCTATTCAGCTCCCTTCTAGAGAGAAGTTTTTATAGTCTGCTCGGCTATCAATTTATGCTTCTGAGTAATCTCACTGATGTCAGGATTTAGTCAGGCAACCAAGATACATTAGGTATCTAACATTACACTTTGAAAATTGTATCACCCATTTGTCTGTCAGTGCATTTTATCAATTCTGCAATAAATTGCTCTGTTTAGCAACTGCTAAATTCAAATCCATACATGTGCTTTTTATACATGAGCCAAGACTGTCTTGCAATGAATTAAAACTTGGGCTTACAACATTTTCCTAAATTCTCAACCGTGAAGTCTTGATTCTCCCTTGCCCAAATCTTGGTACTTGCCTTCCTCCCATCTTCCTTGAACTGGGGCAGAAAAGGGAGGATCGCCCATGCTAACTGGTAAAGAAACACACAGTGATTTTTATGTCTCAGGCTTTCAGAGGCTTGTGTACCAATTGACATAGATAAACTTCTTTATCGCTTGAGATGGCTCGGGCAACTTCTCACACCACAAGAAAGGAAAGAAAGCACCAAGTTGTGCTAAGCGTACAGTGGTTGGGGTTGAAAGGGACCTTAAAGATTATCTGGTTCCAACCCCCCAGCGCTGTAGTTCTAGCGTTCAATCATGTGTTCACAGTCAAATTTTTTGCCTTGGGTAACTTTCCATCTGCATACCTCACCAGGCACAAACCACATTGGGTCATTCTCTGCCACGTTCACTGAAGTACGTGCTTTGCTGACTTAGAGTTCAAGAACACTTTCTCAACCTGAATTTCTGAATTCACCTTTAAAAAATTACTAGCCCTTGAGTGTTAGACCCCAAATCTGGGCCTTCCCTTTAAAGCATTTTAGATTTGGCTAAAAGAGATTTAGCTCATCCTCACTACTTCCTTGAAGACACCAGGAAACCTTTGACTACTGGGCTAAAACAATTGGGCAGATGCTCAATGCCAGAACAGGGCCATCACATTACCCTTCCTCTACTAGAGGTTGCCCCTTGATTCTTGCCATTCCAGGTGCAGGAGGTGGTTTTGAGCCAAATAGTTGCCCGTTCTGTTTCACCAGCTTTCTGGGGGTTGCAGCATTTTAAACTGTATCAGTGGTTCTTCCTGCACATCCTGGATTTAAAATTTTACCAGCGTTACAAGTTATATGTTGTAGTTTAACTCCTGAAATTGTTGCAGTCTCTGCTTCTGCAGTAAATTCGCAGGTGAATTCCACTGCCTTTTGTTTGCTGATCTGAGGCTGTTGAACATTCCTTCTCTGGACTCTGACTGTAAGCATTTGTAGCTTCTGTGGCTAAAAGGGGTCATACCATACATTATCAGAGTGACATTTTCAATACTGCTGACACTGCGCTATTAAAATTAGGACAAAAATGAAACAAAAAGATAAAGCAGTTGAGATGCCAAGCTAGAAACTGTGCAGAACGCAAGATGGGCTATGTGACTAGGGACATCATTACAACTCAGCATAACCTGTATCAGCCCATTTCCAGATTGGAGATAGAAGGGGTTTATAACAAAGAGCTGAAAAAACACCATCCCACTCCCTAAGAAAAGAGATAACATTATTGATCAATAATTACCTTAGCTGTGGAAGAAGAATTCTCAGGCAGCCTCACAAACTGCGGGACCCGGCTTCTTCTTATTTTTCTTCTGGAAAAGCATTGACTTGTTACTAATAAATTCAGGGCTTCCTGTGACATGAACTTCGGTCAAAGCCCCCAAACCATCATTTGACCTGTTCTCTGACAAAAGTGAGAAGTCTGGTTTACATAGAATATTGGACA